TATCAGTTAGCTAGGAATGAATTAGGAAATATTGAGAAGTAAGAACAGCATTAGTACAGCAAGAATTAAAAAGTGCATATTTATTTAAATGTCATTGTAATTTTAATTTAATTTTCCCATATAATACTGTACAAACATATTGCTTCCTTCTGCTTTATAACAAAAACAAAGGTGGGATCTCAAGAAAGCAGTTTCTTTACAGGTTTATTTTAAGAAATGAGGAACAGCAGGTGAAATCCTGGCCTCAGTGAAGTGAATGGCAAATAGAAAGCCATTAACTTGAATGGGGCCAGAATTTCACCTGGCATATTTAAATTACCGTGTTCACTCATAATAAAGTCCTCTCTTTTTCTTTGTTTTGTAAACTACAAGGCAATCCAGGTTCTTAGGCACACCCACATAGGGAGTCCTATTGCTCTGCCTCTGTGTCATTGTCACTTGTCCAGTAGGACCTAGAATGAGATAACTGATGTATGTCAGATAATCTCTCCATTGAAAATAGCTTCTTGTTGCTACAGACTAGGGCTGGAGATGAAAGGCTCTGTACTTCATTACCCTGAACTATTAAATTTCCAGTTTTCTGCCCCCAACACAGGCACATCTGTGTTGATTTTAATAAATTCATTCACTGAGTTTGCAATACATGGATTTTTAATTGCTGCTTTATTAACATCAAAGGTGTCATTCTTTGCTTCTTAAACAGCTACTGACGCCTCACAGGCAATTCTGACAGCATCTCATATTATATGAAGTATTTTCTTGTATTCTGCTTGGCATTTTTTTAAACTACTAAGACTATTTGCATTAAGAAAGGTTTGTTGGTGCTGCTATTATTACTCATCTGAAGTCCTGCTTCTCCATAACATAAGACTAATCCCCACAGTAGTTAACTGTAGGCGCAGTCACACCTCTGCGATATGTAGCAAAAGGCACTCTCTCTGCACAGATCTTGCCCTCTAGTGCAGTCAGGGACCTCCATGATATGATTCCTCCTCAGAGAAAAGAAGAAGGGGTTAGTGAACAGGTTGAGGGAGGAGTGGATAGGCAAGAGGTGATACAAATCTTCCTGCTCCCTTTCTGGAGGTTACTTGAGAAGTATAATACAGAGAGAAGCTATACTACATTTTCACAGCTCTGCCCCACAGATAATGTGGATTATTATCTCCCCTTTAAGGAGACCTCCGAGAAAGGAACAGTTACGGTGTCCAGTTAGGGGCTTCAGTGGAGCCACTCTGTTAACAAGCAAAGGCCAGAGCTACTACAGAGTGACCAGACTCCACACAAGTGATTTTGATTTCCTCCTGATCTCATGGGATCCATTCAAATGCACAGCAGTTTTGATTGAGCCCTCTTAACTGTAGAGGATAAATTCTGCTCCCTGGTAGAACAGGGAGAATTCTCCACAGAAGACCCTCATAAATATTTCTTCCCCTTCAAATCTATCTTCAGTGGTTCCCTGTGGAAGTGGGCAGTCTGGCCTTATAGTATTACCAAGAGTTATGATTTTATTTTTAGATAAGCAGCAGGAGCAGATATAGTCCTAAACAAAGATTTTACTTTACACTACTTACATGTGGTGACTCAGAGCACTTTCCACTAAACAATAATATTACAGCAAAAATAAAAATAAAAAGGGAGTACTCAGTTTAGACTTAAAAATTGAGAATTTCTAATTAACTGAGTTTGAGAAGGAATTTCTAGAGAGGTGTAAACAGAAAAAGCCTTGATTCATAAAGATAACAGCCCTCTTGCGAGGATTGTCATGAGTTGCTAATGGAACACTGAAAGAGCAATTCTGAAATACATGAAAGGTCAAGTCTATAAAGAAGTTGTTTAAATGATAAGCAGAATTTTAAAATCTATAAAGAAATCTGCTGAACGCTAATGTAAAGATTTTAGAGAAGTTGAGTGTATAATTAAAAAGTCTTGCTGCTGAGTTCAAAATGACCTTGAGTGTGCTGATTCGTTTATAAATAAGACCAATAAACAAGGAGTTTAAATAGTCCCATCTTATAAAGTTCATACAATAATAAACAAGGACAGAAACACATTAAGATATTATATGAAAGCAGAATTGTCTCTGAACGGAATGCTCTTCAAAATTTATAAAAAATAATAGTGCTGCATGTCTTTTTTGTCATGTCCCATAAATCACTGTCAGAAGTATAAGATCTAAAATACACCACTCCATTATACTCCAACTGCATTGTTATAATAATACACAGAAATAGCTATACAAGATTTCTAAAATGCAAACAATGTTGTTTTATTCTTCTATCTGCAAAATACCTTTCAGATGTCAGCTTATAAAAATAGTTATCATACAAGCGTCTTTATTTTTTTCATATTTCTGATGTAAAGGGACTTGAAAATGGGATGAAAAATTATTTCTTTCCATAAAGAAATCAGATGTCTTCCCTTTTACAAAATATACCAGAATGTGGACCTTCAGCATCTAACTGATGAGAGTAACAAGCTTGCATTTAAATAGTTCTTCTTAAAAAGGACAAATTTTGTTTTATTTAGCATGTACTGACAATGTAAGTTCTACCATTCTCAGAGATGGCATCTAAACAACATGTATATATAGTACTATCACAAGGTAAGTAATTTAAGTTGCTTCTACTGGAGCATTTAACATAACCTCCCCCACCACCTCCCAGAAAAAAAATCCCACAAAAATTAAAATGATGTAAGAAAAGTTAGATCTCTAATGTTGTTTTAAAAAATGAGAACAGTCATTACCTTTGTGTCATATCTGGAACAGGGAAAATCATTTAGGGGTCAGTTGTGCTTAGAAGGTATAGTTCTTCATTGAAGGTACAGTATAAGATCTCCATCTCAGTGGATCGCTAGGAGTGATTGTGTCTCAGAGGGAAGACAACATGGTAGCAGTTTACCTCCCATCTGCCCAGGTATAAATGATTACACAAGGTGCAAAGCGGGAGAATTGGTCTCAATGATTTCCAGAAAGCAAAACATCTGTGTCAACATTTTAACACACCCTCATTTGGACCTGATGAACTGGGCTGATCTATATCCTTTTGGGATGGCTTGTGATGCTAATAGCTCAAGTCAGGAGCAGTCTTTTTATTCCAGAGTGCATAAGGGCTGCACATTCACCCTGCCCCTGTCTGAGAAATAAAAGCTAGAACCTTCCTATGCACTCCCACCGCCCCACTGCCTTCACAGTGGCCATACACTACATAGCTTCTAGATTTTTGTGCATAATGACCATGACTATTCTTAAAAATGATCATTTAGATGAACAACCCTGCTATTATGAAAACATGTTTGTTGCTTTAAAATGGATAAAAGTATACACATGCAATGCAAAGATGTCAGTCTACAATCTGAACTTAACTATGAGTTAACTTCCTCGAGTAATGTTTTCTGATCTGATGCTATGCCTTCCAAAAACTTATTTCTTCTCTTTGTAAATAACATATGTTTTATATTATTAAATAAAGAGTTGGGTGTTCATTCAATAGTATACTGACATTTAGATAAATGTCAAGGAAATCATGATCTATAAGTAACCTTGAAATACAATAATTGATAGTACATTTCTACTTATAATTATAGTTCATTCAGTATATTACAGCCCATAGGATCCATCTTTCTACTCCATACATTAAATATTCAAAACTACAAGAAAATGTACACTCTCTACTGCTCACCCTCCCACACAACACCAAATAATCCCACATCATGTGACCCAGTTTCTTAAAATCTGTTCCTGTTTGCAAAGTTAAAGTAAAATTACAATAAATACTACTACGTTTCACATGTTGATTCAATTAACCTAACACTACCTAAAATGAATGTATATTCACCATCACCATTGCTTGGTACGATACATAGTTGTGTGTTTATAAATAATCCTTCTGTATGTTATCACAAGAGTGTGTCTGGTAACCTACCATTACATTTTTTATTTCCTTCCTGCACCTTTTGAAAAAAAAGTAAGGATATGACACTCAGTAATAGCCTGCCTGTGTGTTATGTAAGTTGTATGTATTTATGCTTCGTTTTATTGCAGTACAAAACTAACATATTCACATATATCTGATTGGTTTACTTCTTGCAGAATATTCTAGCAAAAACATCAAAAGGGTGACCTCAAATTCTTCTTTTAAAATGTCTATATTGTGGGAATTTTTGTTTGTTTGTGTGTTTGCTTGCCTTTTAAAATAAATACAGAGATTAATGGAAGAGGGAGTCTAGTTTGTTCCAGAATGTAATGTTTGTGTTGATATCATGTTAGTTGATCTGAGAAAAGTGTGCTGGGCAATAGTGAAAAAACCTTGTACACTAGGATGTCCTCTAATCTTTTCTGCTCAACTCTTGATTTATTGCTCTCTCGGTATTATACAGTATACAAATTTTAGAAAGCCCAGCTGCATAGTACACCAAGTAGGTAAAACATCTTGGAAGAAATTCTCGAATCAGTTTCCTCTCTCCACCCGGCTATCATTGTTCCTGTTTCTGCATGAAACTTTCCTGACCTAATAAAGTCCCCAAATTAGATGTCCTATACTAAATAAAATAATAAATAGTAATAAATGAAATTAAATGTATTCCAAACTCTGAATAAATTCGTAGAACTTTATATACATCTCTAAACTGAAGAATTTTAAAGAGCGTAAGTGTTGCATTTTCCATTTAAAAAGAAAGAACGTGACAAAACACAAGCTAATTGGCCAACTGTGCAAGGGAAAACCCCAGCTCTAAATAAAACAGGGAACCTTACATTGTAAAATGAAACTGAAATCCAGCGTCACTCCAGTATCTCAAAGTTACCTCAAGGACACAAATCCCATACATTTAATTGTCACTGACAATGAGAAGGCTATTGAAGGCTAGACAGTTGTGGCCAGTACGGCTGGAGCGGCAGCAGCAACTGTGCATCATCTATGAGTCCCAAGCATTTCAGCTGTGCAAGAAAAACCGCTTGGGGCACGTTTGTGATCTCCGTTTCCCACCCTGGAGGGACTCACCTGAACAGAACTGCAGCTTCCCAGAGATAAAATCCCGAAACAGCTGCACGAAGGTATCTAACCTTGGCCATGTTACTACGAGGCATTCACAACCTCCAGAGCAGACGTTTCCGAGTCATGGAGGATCCAGAAAGAGTGCCAAGGAAATTTGTTCAGTCTTGGGAGCTGTTGGAGAAACTGCCGGGACTTCAGCACCCTGGAGAGCTCCCTGCGGCAGTGCAGCACCTGTAATCCCACTGGCAGGGAAGTTTTAGTCCGGGGTTAGTTTATTCACCGGCGCCTGGCACTTGGGCGAACCTTTTCTGGTGGTGGCTGGGAACCAGCTCTGTAGGGTTTGTATTTTTCATTTAAAGAAAGCGATTGTTCCAAAAGGGGAAGATCAGGCAGAGCAGAGGCGGCAGCGGCAGCATGCGCTCAGCTTCCCTTCCTCCCTCCGGCTCCTGCTAGCAGCCGGAACCCGGCTCGCCACATTCCTGAGCAACTGGAACGCTAGGGCCAGCTGAGAGAGCTAGCGCGGGGGAGGGCGGAGACCAAGCCCAGGCAATGGGCTGCCCACAGCCACTCAGGGGAGCTCCCAGACCGACTGACAGCCGGGCTGAGCAGCACCGCAACGTACCAGAAGGGGCTGGATGGGGGAAGAGGAGAGGTTAATCCTTTAGACGTGTGTGTGTGTGTGTGGGGGGGGGGGGTGATGTTTCAGGGGGTGGACAGGGAGAGGATCCCCTAGAAGGAGATGTCTGGCGGCGGCTGGGGGGTTGACCCTGAGGAAGAAGATAAGGGACTGGTCCCACAGGAGGGAATGGGGTGGGGGTGGCGATCCTTCAAAAGGGGATCTGATGTGGGGAGTGGTTAGTCCAGCCAGGAATGGGGTTGGTCATCCCCCCCGCCGCCGCCGCCTTTGTCTTTTCACATCCTTTCAATTCAGAACGAGTATTAGAACAGAGCCTTCTGTCCTAGCTGCTGTCAGAGCCCTCCTCAGATTAAACGCTCGTAAAAAAGCTGTTGCCTAGATGTGTCCCTCTGTACGGTGTTGGTGGGGTGGAGAGGAGAGGCGAGTGCAGGGGGCGGGGCGTGCAGAGGAGGGCTGTGTCCCAGGGGCTTGGGAGGGGGAGTTGTGTGTGTTTGGGGGAGTGCGGTGAGGTTGGGGAACCGGCAGACGGGCGGGAGTGTCCAGGGACGTCAGGTGTGCAGTGCATTGAGCGCTGGGCAGGGCGAGGGAGCTATGCGCTGGGGTCAGTGGCTCTCCGATGGCTGGGAAGAGCTGTCCGTGGTCCTTACCACTTTGAAAGGCGCAACCACTGAGGAGATGGGGAATCATGTCGCCCCGATCCTTTTTCATCCCATGTGATGAGAGGGGGAGTTCAGAAGGGAAGAGCGCTCTTGAGCAAGGAGGCGTTGAGAGCTTCAGGAGGAAAGAGTCTGGGGAAAGGGGGCAAGTGAGGGAGAGACAGGTGGGGGAGAGAGGGAGTGAGAGAAGAACGGGCTACGGGAGAAGGAGCGAATGGGGTGTAAAGGGCGGTGCGAACATCTATGGCTGTGAATGAACCTCCGTGCGGGACAGTGGGCGGCGGGAGGAGATCCCTGTGGGGGTGGGGAGGCAGAACGAGAAAGAACCTTAGACAAGGGGAGGCTGTTTGTGTTGGGGCTGGGAGGGGTGTGTGTGTCCTTTTTTTGGAGGGGGGATCTCTGTAGCAAGCTCAGTCTGGACGGGGGCTGGGGCCTGCAATTATATTTGCGGATGTATTTGGGGTGGGAGCAGCTTGTCTGAGCAGGTTTTGGGGGAGCCTGCTTGTGCTGGTGCATGTGTGAGTGAGGGGAGGCGGCACTGTGTGGAATAGGCAGGTGTTGGGGGATAAGATAGGAGAGTGGGTTTGCTTTGGTGTGGGGAGGAGGCGACAATACTGTACTGCGAGAGTGAGGGAGAGCAGAAAGAGTGCCAGAGAGGCGAGGGAAGGAAGGTGTGGGGAAGGAAGATGAGAACAGTGCATAAGAAACGGGGTGGGGGGAGCACAATATAGAAAAATTATATGGGGGGAATAGACTGAAAATGACAGAAGAGAAGATAAGGTAGTAAAGGAAATGGGGGGAAATAAAGGGAAAGGCAGAGATTGAACAACAGCTATGAAGGAGATAAGACACGTTTGTACTTACTAGAAGGGATAGGTACAAAATGATGGATTAACCACATTTTAGTTACATTATTAAAAGAGGGATATGATAAAATGTGCTGTTCGGCCATACATCCTCCTTGTTCTTTTTCTGAGGTTGCACCTGTGCCGCCTTTTGCTATCACCACTGCAATTGCCCCAGCAGGCACCATTACATAGTAATAACTCCGACCTCATTTTCTAGAACTGATGTGTGGTTCTCCACACCCACACATACTTCGTGTTAGATGCATGGTTGTGGGACACTCTAGAATGTCATCTGTTTAAACTGACCCTTCCCCCTAGGTTTTCTTTAAAATTTAACAGTTAAATACGAGAGTGAAGGAGCAAGAAGATCGGGGGTCCTCTATCATTAACAAACCAAAATCTTAGTCAGTGCTAAAAGAATTGCTTTGCTTCTTAATGCTAAGGAAACCTCCTTTTCTTCCAAGGTCTGTTCTGGAATTAATGGGATGCATTGAATTAAGGTGTAAAGTGCATGCACTATATTTTCAGAACTGTCACATTTAACTTTTTTCTTAATATAAACATTTAGTGAAGCTCTTTTTCATTGGTACTATTTAGCTTTAAAACCCTGTGCACTTCCACACTTAAATTGTCCTACTTTTCCCCAAGGGATTCAGGAAGATGCATTTTTTCTTATAACACTATTTATTAATATTACCACAATGGGGTCTCTAGTATGAATAGTTCCATAAATGAAAAGTACATTAAGTATGTATAGTTCAAATTCATCAACATGACAGGAGGGACACATTCATTCTAATATGGTTTAAGCAGTAATTCTGTATTTCACCATTTCTTTACTGAATATAAACTTTAGATACTATGCAACAACTGTTTGTTATGAGTCTCAGCGCTTATGAAAGTTGTCACATTGACAGTGTTGAATACTGAAATCTTCTCCTTAGTCACAAAAGAGACATAGTATAGGGAGTGGCAGTATAAGCTTCCCCACACCACAATGTCACTCAGCACTGCTCTATAGCCACAGCCTACCTTTGGTGAAAGGAGAATTCAGTCTCAAAGTTTATTCAGTCCTTGGACTTTTTCCTAAAGTGATACACATTGGTGGTAGTTTTTATCTAACTATCTATCCATGTAATTACTTAAAAGGCCCTCATGATTATAGTATCTTAGTGTCTCCACATTTTTTTTAAATGACAACAAACAGGACTTTCTTCCTTTTCTGCCTGCAGGAATAGCTTAGCAGGTTGTTGGCATTTTTTTTCTCTTTTCCATCTTCTTCCTGGATTGGCAACTGGTTAAAAGATAGGAAACAAAGGGTAGGAATAAATGGTCAGTTTTCAGAATGGAGAGAGGTAAATAGTCGTGTCCTCCAGGGGTCTGTATTGGGACCAGTCCTATTCAACATAGTCATAAATGATCTGGAAAAAGGGGTAAATAGTGAGGTGGCACAATTTGCAGATGAAACAAAACTACTCAAGATAGTTAAGTCCCAGGCAGACTGCGAAGAGCTACAAAAGGATTGCACAAAACTGGGTGACTCGGCAACAAAATGGCATATGAAATTCAACATTGATAAATGGAAAGTAATGCACATTGGAAAGCATAATCCCAACTATACATATAAAATGATGGGGTCTAAATTAGCTGTTACCACTCAAGAAAGAGATCTTGGGGCCATTGTGGATAGTTCTCTGACACCATGCACTCAATATGCACCAGCAGTCAAAAAAGTTAACAAAACATTGGGAATCATGAAGAAAGGGATAGATAATAGGAAAGAAAATATCATATGACCTCTACATAAATCCATAGTACGCCCACATCTTGAATACTGCATGCAGATGTGGTCGCCCCAACTCAAAAAATATATATTGGAATTAGAAAAGGTTCAGAAAAGGGCAACAAAAATTATTAGGGGTATGGAACAGCTTTCATATGAGGAGCGATTAATAAGATTGGGACTTTTCATCTTGGAAAAGAGACAACTAAGGGTGGATAATCATTGAGGTCTCTAAAGTCATGACTGGTATGGAGAAAGTAAGTGTTATTTATTCCTTCTCATAATACAAGAACTAGGAGTCAACAAATGAAATTAATAGGCAGCAGGTTTAAAACAAACAAAAGGAAGTATTTTTTTACACAACACACAGTCAACCTGTGGAACTCCTTGCCAGAGGATGGTGTGAAGGCCAAGACTATAACAGAGTTAAAAAAAAACTAGATAAGTTCATGGAGGATAGGTTCATCAATGGCTATTAGCCAGGATGGGCAGTGGTGGTGTCCCTAGCCTCTGTTTGCCAGAAGCTAGGAATGGGCAACAGGGAATGGATCACTTGATGATTACCTGTTCTGTTCATTCCCTCTGGGGCACCTGGTATTGGCCACTGTCGGAAGATACAGTGGGATAGATGGACCTTTGTTCTGACCCAGTATGGCCGGTCTTATGTTCTTATGTTCTTTCCCATCTCCCCTACATGGGAGAAGACTGTGAGTAGAGCAGTTTTGGGAAGGGTAAGTTGAAGAAATAGGTCTTGATTTTAGGGGTTTTTTTAAGCACCAGCAGCTTCTCTCTAGGGAAATCTAGAAAGAACTGATGATGGTTCCTCAGTCCAAACACAGTACTAGCTATCAGCCCTCTTTGACCTACTTAAGATCCCAGTTCAACAGAGCACATAAGCAGGTGCTATTCACTTCAAGAGAATTAAGCGCAAGCTTTGGTGAGTTGGGTCCTAATATAGGTTTGTTCTGATAACCATGTTGTTTTTCTTGCATTTTACTGTTAGCCAGCCTACCTGTTCTTAAAGCTTAAAGCTGAGCACTTAACAATAATAGATTATAACATGTTCTACTGTGTCTCTTAATACTTCTCTAGCCTGTTTGCGTGTTATGTTAGATTTTTTGGGGTAGGGAGGTGAGACTTGCCTGATTGGTCA